AAATAGATTATGAAAATACATTTTATCGGAAGTTTCAAATGAATATGTTCCCAGGATAATTTGAGAACCTCATTTTGCTCTCTATCTCACATTTTTAGCCATTTTATTTGCATAGCATCTTGAGTTTTAATATCACTTGTTTGATTTAGAAACGCATGTTTTTAGGTAACCAAATAAATGCGCAGGTATATGAACCAGTGTTAGGGAATACCTGGATTTTAATCTTAACCTCGTTCAAAAAACATCGTTGGTTTTTTCCAGTAAATACTGTATAATTTGAATAGCCCAATTGACCATTATTCAGTTCAGTGAGGCGAATTTGTGTTGAATATGGTTTCCCCAGCCCCCAGCTCGCCGCCGAATTTTTCGCGGATAATATTCTGTTTGACCATGTTGATGGATGTGATTATTATTCATAGAACGTAAGAACTACAGTACCCCACTGAAGTCAAAGACTTGTATTAAGAGTGAGGTGTTCCTTGGACTGTTGAATTTAAACCTCAGACAACAGACAAATGATTTGAATGAAGAAGCCACATGTTTTTCAATTCTTTATTGTAAGTGATTAAAAAGCGTGGAATTAGCCAGTGCTGGAATCTGTAGCGGTGCATGAGTTGGTTAATATTTATGGAAAAGTATTCTGGCTGCACTTAAAACCTTTTTCCTTATAATGCGGATGAATTCCGTTCCAATCGTTGGTTGAAGGATAAAAATTACTCCCGTTTTAGATATAAGTATATATATTCGCTTCTTCATGGGTGGTTCTCAATGGGCCATCTTATGAGATAATTCCGGAGGCTAATTTTTTTCCACTGGCTTTGACACAAAGAAAATATTCGCTGTGCATAAGTCCGCTGCATAGAAACGACGGTCGAAACTAAAAGACACCGTCCTCAGCCAGTGCTCGACATCTACTGATGACGCAACACTAGGTCGACGGGGACACAGCGTTCTGAATTGTCTACAAGTCAAAAGTCGCAAGATTGCTAAGGTTTGCTGAAGCGATTGCGATTAATCGATGGAATCCCCCCTGATTCAGCAAAAAGAACTTTATGTTGGTCTCTCCCTACCCTGGTGATATTAGTCCTTTTACAGCTCCCTATGTTTATGTTTTGTCTGGTTCAAATGTATTTTGCTTTACGTTGTTGCTTTGCTAAAGTCCTATATAAACATTGTATTTTCTGCAGTATGCACCATGTTGAGATGCAGATGCAAAATCGTCCTGGATATAAATCGTGCAGTATTCCACTATGGTCTTTTCTTTTAAAAATATTCGTTGTTTACTTTTGCACGAGCAACAAAGGAGTTCAGTTGCTGCCAACTACTACTAGCTATTTCACATAGTTACCAATCCAATAAACAGTTCCATGCTATGAACGCATACAGGTTTCTACATTCGTCCGTATCTGAAATAATTGACTGGAACTCTGTTGGCTGTTATATCTGACCCACACAAGCTACTAATTATTGATTGATTGGTTGATAAACTTGTCTTATTTTTGGCTCTGTTTGGAAGACATTTCTCCCGTATTTTTCACGATTTATTTTTTATTTTCTTCTGATGAGCTCGAATGAACAAAATATTTTGAGAATAACATTTATGACACTAGAATTCATCATACCTTTGTTGTATATGAAGGTATACTTCGGTAGAATCTACGATATATTAGGTAGTAGTTGAATCTTGGCATTTTGAAAGTGAATTCTTTCAATGTGTAAGATTTGGCTTCAGTTTTCAAAGGAAAGGATGCTCCCAGTGTCAGATATAAATCTGGAACCGATGACATTGAAGAAATCGCGTCGTTCATGACTGATCCTGGATTACGAAATTTCTCTCGCTGTGTGTCTGAGAGTCTGTGGGCATTAGTGTTATAGTGGTACCATCATGACCAGTTTTGATTAGGCCTCTGACTGAACAATAGATTACGCAATACCAACTGATAACGGGAAATAAGGTGTTTGCAAATAACCTATCGGAGTGTGCAAGAAATGGATGTAACGTGAGTGGGCTGGATGGCATTAGGTCAGCGGGATGGTAATCAGCCCTCGCCAAATGGCTGATGATGAGAAAGGACTCAGCCATTTATCTTGTCCATTATGACTATAGAACTTTGTTTTAGAATAACCGTTTTTTAAATTCTCCACAGTACTCTCCACTTGTATAGTAGATTGGCTTAGTCGCTCTCAAGGGCTCAAAGCCCTTAGACGAGTGTCTACATTTTCTGTCATATTGTGCTACGCGATGCTTTAGTCATCTACTCGTTTATTGGTATTTTTGGGCTAACAAAAAACTGTGTAAGTAGCATCTTACAATATCGGTTAAGTAGGAAACGACAGGATAGCGGAAATTGAGAAAAGTTTGTTGCGACCGAGCAATTTTTTTCACCATTGTTAATGTTAAGGTGAAAAAGTCATTTGAGCGTAATACTCAGAAAAGAGTTCCACTGCTGACCTATCAATCCTACTTTATCTAACTCAAAGATTTATATCAGAATGACTAGTAGATGTGTTAAAATACAAATAGTTTGTGACTCATATACACAATGGTTTTATTCAGATTGCTGAATATTTTATCCTCACAATTATTTTCTGGATATAATGCAAAGTAGTGAATGGTTCAAAAAATTTAAAGTCTCTTTCAGAAAAGGCTGAACATGTGTAGGTAACTTGTTTTAACTACACACCAGTGTGTGATGAACAGCAGACAGTGATGTTAACCGGGAACATAAGCCCCGGAACTTGGACTGGCGAACCACATAGGGCTCCGCTAGGTTATGCGTGATATTGAACCGGACGACGGCAAAGCGGCTTACCATCAAGTTGGGTGGCGATAGCGGGGCTCGAACTTTGGAATACAGCGTCCAAAGCACGCCGGTGTCTGCACCCAAATTACTTTGCCACCACCATAAATGTGGTTTCTGGTCAAATGTATATCTCTCCAACATGTTCCTCAGACGAATTTTCCGAACTGTGTGACAGTTTGAGCTGTCTTTTAAACAAACATATTGACACCTAATACTTTTGCGCTGGAGCTGAGTTCACTCGCTTTTAAATTGGGTTCTTAACCTTGTTGAGAGGCACAAATGTGGTCCACTTTCCTACCAGGCTAAATGTACGAGTAGACAAAGTTTTCGTAACAATCTCTACTTCTTCTATGTTTCCTATTGATTGACCATTGGATCGGATGATTAAGCTATCATCAGGACCTCTTCGATCATTTACACACACTGTAACCAAATGTATTTTTAAGAACCAGGAATGTAATACTGTGATGCGACAGCTATGTCCGGGTAATCTTTTTGGAGATGGTTGATGAGGCCAATTTTCCCATTTCCCTACAATCTGGTATGAAGATTTCTTGTTTCAATTTGAGTGATTGTTGAATTTTTATTGTGATATAAGCCAATCGAAAGACATGTTCTGCTTTTGTGCGGGCCGCATAGCTCCTTCACTTTCAGGAAAACTCACGAAAAGCACGGGTCCACAGTTTTTCCACCAAAATATTGAATTTAATCGACTAAGTATTGCACATATACATATTCACTGTGCCATCAAGTTAGGTTTTATAACCATTAGCGTTTTTACGGTACCGGAAGCAACACGTTGATATCGACTAACTTAGTTTGACCTCCACCAGAAGTAATAATATCAACCTGCGAAATAAGCTGTCCAAAAGGCCTAAAATCTGTGCTCTGTTTTACGTGTTTAACTGATACCTAGCTGAACGAAGGACTTTCATCAGTTCCTCATAGATGTTCAGGTAAAAATCGCCCAATGGCTTATATTTCAACCACACTAAATAAACTGAAAAAGCTAGTTCCACACCAGTTGTCTAGCATTTTTCAGTTTTGACTTTCCGTGGTGGGAGGTAGGTCCTACAAACCCTGGCATCATTGGCACACAGTTTTGTCGGCACTCGATACAAATGTCAAACCTTAGACTACTTCCTCGAGTACAAGTCTGAATTTATTAGTGTCAAGAGAGATAACGTTCTGAGTATTCGTGACCATCATTCATCTTCTAACGAGCTTTAGTTGATCGACAGCGGTTTACCGGCTACCTTTTAAGTCTCCTTATTAGAGCTTCTCTAACCGGTACTATTCATGGTGCCATACTGTCTCTATTTCGATTTCCTGTGTGTTCATATCAAACCTCTATATCACTCATCTGTTTCTAAAGACGAATTGCACCTATAGCATAGCTTTTGGAATACATTATTGTTGTGGTTCATCGATCTACAATGAGATTTTTCCCAAATGATCAACACTCCATAATTTATCTGTGATTTGTTAGCAATATGCGGATGTCATCTTTTTGCTAAGTTGATAACATAATGCAATCACATTTGTGCTGCCTGTAGCCTTGACGGAAACTAAGCTGTTTTCTTGTTTTGTTGTTTTCCTCAAACCTTTGTCTGTATCGTTGTATTCGATTGAGTGGTTTGTGCATGTATGCACCTTATTTGATGTTCTTGATGCTCAAATTTTAACTTTACTGGTTTGCTTCTGAAGGATTTCTCATTGATATGCAGCACTCTTCAATGTTTATACATCTCCAGCAGCTCATCCCACATTNNCAGGTGATCCACACAGTTGTTTCCAGGCCCAGCAAAATATGTAAAGGGTTTTCTCACTAAATTCAATCTGCTATTACATTTATCACTCGTCATGTTTTACTGAACTACGTACCATCGTCCATCACGCGTCCCTACGGTACCTAAAATCTACGGTACAAAGGCACTCAGTGGGCATTAGATCGCTGCACTTTCAATGAACACCGAGCTGATAAAATTTTATGCAGTACTTTGATCTATTTATTTCACAACAACTTTCCATGGAATTCACTGAATATTTACCCCTTGCGTGAAACAGAACAAATGCTGGAATTGCTCAAAACATGTCACGTGCGTAGTATTCAGCTTTGTCGTCAGTGATTTTGGGTGAGGGATAAGCCGTTGCCAATACCCATCAAAGTGTCGTATGTATAGATCTCTAGATAGAATGCAATATGGGGTGAGTGGGGGNCGCATTCTTTCTTTGGGATTTGCTTTATTTTCATCTGTCCCAATTCAATATTTGAGTTTGACAAAAATCCTGTTTAGATTATTTAGGAATCGGAGCGAAGAGAATAAATTCAAAATAAATAAATTTATTCAACAATGCTCACGGACATTTAAATACAAGCAATAAACAGAGACTAGTGCAAAAAATAAAATGGTTGGGGAAAATGGCGCGGGATCCCTTCAGAATAAACTGTATTCTCCCGCGTACATGGTCCAATCCTACTGTCAATTTACCCAGTGTAGAACTCGTCGCTGATTGGTTTACGCATTCCGTTGTTGGTTGCTCTTTTGCCGGTCAGCCACCAATCGGAATAATCGTTTGGGGATAATGAAAATTAAAATCTGTTATTTTGTCGTCGAAAAGCAGGTCGCATTCAGGAACTTCAAGAATAAACAACCAAATGGATGTAAGCTTTTTGAAGCATTACTTTCTTGATGAATGATTGTTTTCTGTTCATAAGTTTTGTTTTGCTTTCCGTTTTTTGTTTCAAGTGATTTATGGGAGTCAAAGTTTCATTTTTGGCATTTCTAGATTCAACAGTTTATGAGAACTACCAGTTGCAAAGATAGCATGTATATATCGCATCATTTGAGGTGAATAGGTGAATAAAAATAGTATTGTTGCACAGAAGAAATTATAATGAATTGCTGGAAACTACGGAGTTTATTGTAATTCAGGATGGTTACCGAATCACAGAATAGAATTGAGATGGATGGCGTAAACTCTCATGTAATCGTTTTTGAATTGGTATGATTAAAATTAAAAGTCGATGAATATCAAACAGTAAACATCAATCGTAGTAGCGCACCATTTTCGTCGATAATTTTCCCATCCTTTACTATTTTCGAGAAAACATGACCATACGAGTCTATAAAGACTGCACTGAAAACCGTATTCGTATTGCTACAATGCCCGGTGCTGAAAGGGTTCAGAATAGGTTTTGCTTTAGATTGTCGGGAAACAAAACCAAATTTGGACCAAAAAGGGTGAAATTGCGAATACAGTTATACTAGTACTTTTACACCACAACTGTTGTTTCATAGCTATTTTATAAGTAACATTAATTTTCGTTAACACTTTGTAAATAAGGTATTGTTCCCTACTTCGTGGCCTGATCTTAGTAATGTTTGTTTTCTATTTGGAAGCGGCTCCTTTTAAAGGAAACAGGAAGCAGGCGGAAACTTACTCGGTCGGAGTTAACTAAAGAATTGCGAAAACAACAACAATTCAAAGGAACTGCTAATTTTTATTTTCACATTGTATTGTTCTATCATTGTCCAAAAATTCCATCCAGGAAAAAAGTGATCTATTCCTTTTTTTATCCTAAACAAGCACGCCATAACTTCTCGTTGATGGGCCCTATCTCACAAACTAAACAGTCACATCATTTTCGGCTGTGCATTTGACAAATTGTATGATATTAAAATATCCGAATGCATTTACTGAAGGTTAATGGCCCTTTTGACACTAATATGCATTATTGGTTCGGCAAACGGAGTGTGCAAACTGAGAGCGCGACAAGCGGGAATTCTTTTTTCATGCATGTAAAGCACGGCAATTAACAAGAGGGTACTTTATAAATAATGCAAATTTGCATCTACTCATTATTTCAACTAAATTACGCAAACATTTAGCCATTCGGGCCCTAAATGCTATCCTACCAGTGCCATTAGCTGCAAAATACAAAGCTGAGCACTCTAATGGAATCTCACTAATTGAAAGCAATCTCCATATTGATATCACTCCATCCATTCCCTTCAATCTCCAGTCTAACTTTCCCGCAGGCAGTTTGCACCCAAATGTTTTGCAAATTGTAACCTCAATGAAATAGGGAACTGTGATCAGGCCATAACTCCAAATTTTTATAGATGGCAGCTTCGCTGGTATAGAGCTTTGCCATCGTTTGGTTCAGTACTACGACTTATGTGACCCTTTGGTACATGTGACCAGTTTCCATGACTGACCGGCAAATTCTGGTGACAATAGGGTTTACTCCGACTTCGTTGCATCAGACAACGTTTCTAATAAAAATCGGTTCATTACTGGCAGAAATTCCCTTCAGTATCATTGTTTTGTGCAGCAGATGGTGACTAGTTTGATAGAATTTGGTTTCGTTATTGTCTCATCAGCTGAAATCCAGACGTGTGACCGTGAGACCAGTCATCTCAGAAGATGAACTTGAACCACCCTCGTACGACCAGATTCAAGCCATCGAAAACCCAAACCATGAACCGATAGATTCCGAGTTTGCAGTCCAACAGACTGCGCGAAAACCCAATACCTTCCGAATACGCGGGAATATTACGCTGGGCAATCGACGTCGTCTCAGCCGTGTGGCCAAATGGATGCGCCAGAGTGTGAACAGTCTGAGCACAATTGACGAGGTGTGTCGAGGCGAGGGTCTAGTTGGAATCAATAAACGATGGCGTTGGAATCATCAGAAGCGTACATCCGCCTTATTGCGCGAATTACAAATGAATCCAATGCTTCCGTTTGAAGTAAGTGCCTCTACTGCCACGTCTTCCAGAAGATAAAATACCTGGAAACATGAATTTCGAAACATTCCTGTTTTATGTTCGTTATATGGACATCACTAATGTAGTCAATGTTTATCAGAACTATACTGAGATTGTAGGTTTTAAGTAGCTTGAATGTCATACGCATCGTTCATAACATGGATATTTTGACTGGTATTGCTCATATAAAAGAAGGAACAACTGACTAAACTTAACATGCTAAATCAACAAAATGCCACAGAGTAATCACTGTGGGTAAGCAGTTGGTAAAGTGCGTATTTTGATTACAATTGCACGATACAAAAATATGGTTCTGCTGGTTGTGTGCTGCATGTGACCGAGGAATGAAATGTATATCTAATATTTGTAGTATCGTATGGGCAAGATAGATAGAAATTTGCTTGTGTGAAAAAACAACAATCATGCTGATGGATAATTTCCTTAAGTTTATGTTAAAAGTCGTTTTAATAACCACAGGCTTAAAATTACCATTACATGGCTTTTGTAGCACGAATTTATTTCTGTGCTCAAGATGTCCTTAGTCTTATTGTCATTCTACCACCTTTTTGTGTGTCGTGTGGTTCACGTTTATAGGTATGAGACGTATTCAACCAGGGATATGGTGCATAACACTTAAGTCCCGCTGTTTGTCCTGTAATGCACATGCCTCCTTCTAAGGCCGTTTTTTCACGCATACACGTCGAGTGAACTATGTTGTCATTCCATCTCCATTATTAGACCCGGCATATTTGAATTCCAGAAATTCTGTGATTACTTAGTTGTGCAATAACTTCAAGTTTATTCACTCAAATAACGGAGCCACTTGCCTAGAAACGTTTGCGCTTGTGTTTAACGTAATGAACCTAAGCAATATCATCAGTGCTATAATTCCAAATTCTACTGGTCACTGATTATAAACATTATGTTTACGTAGGATATACTCAAAAGAGTCATTATGCAGAGCATGGAGAAAAACGAGAAAAGCAACAATTCTGCAAACAAGAGTTCTTCTCACCTCACTGATAAAAACTGCTGACTTTGAAGGTTTCATGCATGCAGGAATTTGCTCCCAAGAATAATACATATTTTTCTTCATGACATCAATGTGTATGTAAACAGCAAAGGGTAGAGCTCTTGAAACAGTTGATCCATGTATATATAGATGTATATTTTAACCGAAAGTTGAGTAACAACCAAATCACTTGTTGGATTCCAATTAGTAAAGCATTTAAACATAGAGGAACATAACAGGAGTAATCTAAATATTTAACTATTCTCATAAGCATTGCCTCTTATTATATAAGATATCAGAAAGCAGAATGACTTTGTCTAACTTTTGAACAAAGCATTTATTTGCCTTAATGATAACTATTGCAGAAACAACCTGCTTCTGGTAGTAGTTTAATAGACCAATACACACATTGTATGTGAGTAGTATTTTGACACGTTCACGGTAAAAAACAGACTTCGATTGTCTTACAACACCTCACTTCGTTCCAAGAGAAGTCGCAAAACGTACGAACAGAATGTAGAACAGTTGACCCATCAACCCAAGGTCGTGTATGAGAACGCAACTCGTCTCTTTCCATTTATGTGTTTGGTTCTCCGATGAATCTATTCATTCCATTTCCACGGTTATCATTCCCGCAAATTTTCATTGGACTTGTAGATTAAAAATAGCCTGAGGATTAGAAAATAGATTTTCAATCAGCACTACTGCAAAGTAAGCGCTATCTCATTTAAAAAAGTAATTTTACGAAAGCTCATGCAAGTTATTAAAAACTACAAATCATCAATTTACCATCCTGATTATCTCATACTCTATTAAGGATTGAATAATCTTTTCAACAATACTAAAGCGTTTCGAAGTTATAACACACCCATGGATATTTTGATTTACGTTCTAGGTAGTCGGCAAATGAGTACTCAGTTAAATAACTCAGTTAAATAAATAAATAAACTACAACGGCTATATATTCAACATGTAACCAACTACATGGATTTGCAAAATGTGCTACAACATACGAAGAAGAAATTTTTCTAATGCATTTATAAGTTATGGGTTGCTCTGACCGAGAAAGGAAAATAACTTCGTAGTCCCCACACGAAAGCTTTGGCTAGAAAGCCAGACGTGTAAGACAACAGGGTGGAGCTCAGATTTCGCAGTCCATTGGGGGTCACTGTCCAGTTCAACGGATCATACGCTACGCCCTTTGAGCGGAGACAAACGTCCAAATTGTCCAATTCATCTCGATGCCCAATCGAGCCGCTGATCACTGCCAGCACCAGGAAGGTGTGTGTGGTTCCAACGCCTTTTCTCGGTCGGCCTTGAATTAGGGCTTTAGCCATTTTCCCTAGATTAACTGTCAGTGTATCAAGGAAGTGGTCATAGTCCTAAATGATAGCTCCTTGTCCTCTAACTTTGGTGGGACATCTCAGCCGCGGGAAAGCAGTGAGTAGGGCTTCCTTAGTACTTACCTCTTAGGACGCTTGGTCATATAAGTGCATTTTGTAGGGTGATAAATCTAGCAAACCCTAACTATTTCAAAACATTTGAATTGGTAGAGATGAAGCAAATGCGCACTGCTGACTAACATCGAAAAGGAGGTAAAAGGGATTGCTGAGACGATTTCGTTGATTCCATACATCGCAATGTAGCTTTAGTTTTCGTATACCAGTGCATTTTCTAAACAAGTACTCAATGCATATGGAATGCCTAATAAATGGGGCATTCGTGCCTAGCTAAAATGAAGGGAACGTTGAAAATGAAATATGCAATTTCGCACTAATGAAAGAAAAAGCAAAGCTCGGAGAAATTGCGCACGGCTAACTATGAAACATGAGCATTATTTATCAAGAGAAAATAAAAATGTCCAGCGGCATCCGTTCTGATGCCAAAATGTCAAAATTAGCGATAAATAGAAAGTAAATGTGATGAATCAGGACAGATGGTCTCTGACCGTCCCCCCTGCCTCCCCCCAAATAAAAAACTGCGGTCCATATGCGGGAGAGAATAAAGAAGTCTAGGGATTTATTTCCTACTGGATATAAAAAGCATTATCAGGACAATGCTCGAGAACTCCTCAGCAGATTTCCAGAGCTGAATTTTCGTTTCATATCAGGTCAGTGGCATATTATTGCTGTTGCACAATTGTCCTTACCAGAAATATCTCTGCTCAGATGCTATCATCCTACCCGTGGTGGTGGTGTTCTACTCTATTATCGAGAAAATCTTGATGGCGAGCGAATCCACCCCCCACCCCCCAGTTTCGACTCCTGACACTCTGTGGTGTAGTTTCAGATTGTCCAAACACGATGACTGTTTGATTTGTGTCATCTGTCGCCCTCCGTCAGCCTTGGAATCAGCCAATACGATTCTTTTGAACACTGTTACACATTCTCGCAAACTGATTTACACATGTTCTGTTAATGGGTGATTTCAACTATCCCAACCTCGGCAAACCAATGACCTACCATCCCTTATTAAAACAACAATTCACAAAGCTAATTGCTTCACAACCAGTGTACAACCTCATGAAAGAGCATACCAGATTTGGAAACTTGCAATCACCATCCATACTAGATTTAGTGTTGACAAACGAAGAGTTGATAATAGAATCCGTCGCCGTAACGAACCCTATGGGATGAAGTAACCATGCTGTACTGTTGTTCAAATACATTTGTTACACTTCTGTCAAAGAAATTAACCCAAACAACATTCGCAAATTCATAAACTATGCAAAGTTGCAGAGATTGGTTCCTTCCATTCAATGGATATCTCATAGGGAAGAACACAACCCTTTAGTCGTATAGCAGGAATTTACTGAGAGTCTGTAACAACCACTAGCGTCAGTGACGCAGGTAAAAGTTATTACTAAACTCAGCAGTCGGAAATCACCTACTTGAAGCCATACAAAGAAATGGACAGTTCTGAGGGACCTTTTGTAGAGAAAGTACAAACGACTTCGACAATAATACACCTGGAACAATTGCCGACCGTTGCGAAACCACTGCACCAAGTTGGTGCGCGAAGGTAAACTAAACCATCATGAATCTCTAGCACAAAGACTTATTTAAAAACCCCAAGCTTTTCTATAAACATTTCAACTCAGCTCGAAAAGGTAAACATGGAATACCGGTGCTCATTTCTTCTGGAAGAGCCACAGCCAATGCAATGGAAGCCACTGAAATGCTGANGCTGAAGAACCAGTATGCCCAAGTTTTTGCTGCGTCAACTAACGAACGACTGTACCTCCATTGCTGGATGCATCAAATTTCACATCCTTCACTAACTAACGTATCATTCACTACCGAAAAGGTGATAGCAAAGCTATTGGCTTTGAGGAAGAATTGATCGTCAGGAGCAGACAATATTCACCCCCAAACCCTTATCTTCTTGGTAAATCAAATAGCCGAGCGACTAACCTTCCTATTCCAGAGGATATTTGATCACACTGCAATCCCACCGTCGTGGAAGCAGGGAAAAATTTCACCCGTTTACGAAGGCGGTTGCCGTAGCGATCCCGCGAACTACTGCCCTGTAACCCTCCTTCTATTGTTGTCCAAAGTCATGGAGTCCATAGTGGCAGATTCCCTGACGGAACACTTAGAGAAGCACAGCGTTTTGTCATCAGATCAATATGGATTCCATCAGAATCGATCCTGCGCTACCAATTTGCTGATTGCACGAGAAGAATGGAGAAAAGCATTTGATGACGGCGACGCGGTAGGCGTTATTTATCTAGACTTCTCAAAAGCGTTCGATCAAATAAACTACGACATTCTACTGCGGAATCTCGATAATCACGGTATTCAGGGCCTCGTGCTTGGTTGGATCGAATAATTTCTCCGACATCCGACCGTATCGGTTAGCGTTTCTGATTCGTTTTCCAGTTCTGCGGACGTTACCCGTGGGGTTCCACAAGGATCTGTGCCTGACCCGCGACTTTTCTCAACATTCATAAACGACCTATCGAAGGCACTGGG